TTGTGCTGTCAATTTTTTATTGTATATTGAGTCAGTTACAGGTGGCCAGAGCGTGAAGGTGGGTTTCTGTAGGCATTCGGTGGTGCCTATCCTAGCGCTATTGGAGGGTTTCGGGGTACCGTTGGGCGATGAGATATCTCTTAATGATGCTGTGGAGTCTCCAACTATGTTAGATACAGGTGACGGCCCTTCTGACTTGTTCCAGCTGCAAATTGTCCCCTGTATTGTGGAGCCCGCGTTCAACTCCTGCTTTGTACTAGATAAAACTGAAGTACATTTTGGCCTGACTGGGCCCCCCTCCACTCCCTGGCGCCTACCTGCCTGGCGTGTGAATTGTGTGAATTCGTGCGTGTTTGCGCTGATAGTTCGCTTCAGTGTGCTATCATTGCCTGCGTGTGCTTAATGTGTATATTGTATCAAGCGGGCCCTCGTCTAAGGCGAGGACCCGGGTAAGAAGATAAGAGAAAGGTAGAGTGAAGATAGAAAGGAGGGTGGGGGGGTGGGTGGACCAGGCGCCCGGGCAGGCGGGGGGAGCCCAAGGGGACGGGGGGGGGGGAAGAAGGAGGCGGGGAGAGGGCGGCGGGAAGGGGGGAGGGCACCAAGCAGACTAGCATCTTCCACCTCTCGGACCCCCCGGGCCGCGGCCCCGCCAAGCGCAAGGACGGTTACTCCGCCAGGGGGCAGTCCTTCCAGCGTCCCCACGTCCTTTCGAAAGCCTTTTGAGTACTGCGCACCCTTGCTGTGAGGTCGACCATTAGGCAACTATCTTTTATTCTCCCCAGGATCGCTGCCCTGGTGGGGGGCTGCATTTTTAACCAGCGTTGTGCGAGGGCTCGTCTGGCCGCCAATGTGATTTTGTTGAATAGTTTTAGGTCATATTTGGGCCATTCGTCAATAGGTCTGCCCAGGAGGTATGTCCACGGGTCAAGGGCGGGTGCCCTCTGGAATACCTGTCCCAGTATGTCTCTAACGTCTTCCCAGTACCTGCGGACGACGGGGCACCCCCACCACATGTGGATGTATGTGCCCCGCAGACCACAGTTCCTCCAGCAAAGATCAGTGGGTGTCTTTCGCATGCGATGGAGTTGTACTGGGGTGGTGTACCATCTAAAGAGGGTCTTGAAAGATTGTTCCTGGAAGGAAACACAGATGGAGGAGGTGGCCGCCGTCTCCCAGATATCCTGCCAATCCACTCCCTCTAATACCTCACCCAGGTCCCTCTCCCATTGATCAGTATATGTGAGATTGCCCCATTCTTTGGTTTCTGAGCATATGTGCGCGTATAACAGCGTGATTAGGCTTCTGGGAGATTGCTCTCTAAGGCATATGTTTTCAAAGAAGGTGGGGGATGTGAGTGCGGCCTTTTTTGTGTGCGGTTGCCTGGCGTAGTCTGCGATCTGGAGGTATCGGAAAAAATCGGCCGGGGTTAAGTGGTGTCCCTGCTTTATGGTGTCAAATGGGATGATGGAACCCTCCACATATAGTTGGCAAGCTCTCTGCAGGCCCGTATGTTCAATGTTTCTGAAAGCTTGTGGCACTAAACCAGGTGGGAAGGCCCTGTTTCTGAGATAGGGCATGAGGGGGGAGGGGGAGGATGACAGCCGGTATTTCTGAGATGTTTGATCTCAAATGTGAATGGAGTTGGTGATGGCCGGGCAAGCTGTCCGCAGTATGGGTCTGGAATCCTTTGGTACCCAGATAAAGTATTGTGGGAGGTCGGTGCCCATGAGGAGAGATTCCAGTTCTACCCATTTCCTCGTGTCTATAGGGGAGTGCCACATTGCAATCTGGGCAAGCTGGGCTGCTAAGTAGTAGTTATGTAAATTGGGAAGGCCTAGACCTCCCGTTCGTTTTGGGCGGTATAGCGTGTGCCTCGACACCCGATGTCTTTTATTTTGCCATATAAAGTTGCCGATGGCTCTTTGGAGGTGGGCCAGGTCCGTTTTTGCGAGCGGGAGGGGAAGGGCTTGAAATAGGAAGAGGATTCTAGGGAGGAGATTCATCTTAATGGAGTGAATCCGGCCCATCCATGAGATGGGTTTGTCGACCCAATTCTCCATGTCTCTGATAAGAGTAGCTATCATGGGGGGGTAGTTGTATTTGTGCATTTTGGATGGGTCTGAAGTCAATTGTACTCCCAAATAGGTGATTGAGTGGGTTGCTATGTGGATGCCATGAGCTCTATGTATGTGAGTTATCACGTCTGGCGTTAGCTCTATTGGTAAGGCACTGGACTTGGCCATGTTGGGTTTGTACCCTGAGAGAGGGCTAAATATTGCTAGGGTCTCCTGAACAGCCCTCATGGAGGTGATCGGAGACGTGAGGGAGAGGAGGACATCATCGGCATACGCCGAGACCAGGAACTTCCGTCCCTGAACCGTTATTCCCTGGATGTCAGGATGAATGCGTAGCGCCTGAAGGAGTGGTTCCAGTACCAAAGCAAATAGGAGGGGGGACAGCGGGCAGCCCTGCCTCGTGCCGTTGGACAATGGGAAGGGGAGCGTGTGGGTCCCAGGGATGCGTATCTGTGCCGAGACCCCGTGGTATAGCGCTCGTATTGTCGCAGTATATGTGTCAGGGAGTCCTAGGTGGTCGAGGAGAGTAAACATATACGGCCATTTCACCCTGTCAAATGCCTTTTCAGCATCGAGTGAGACTATGAGGGTGGGGGTCTTGCTAGTGTGTTGTCGCCAGATGATGTCGCAGTTCTTGCGCGTGTTTTCGAATAATTGCCTCCCTGGGATAAAACCCACTTGATCGGCATCTACTAGTTTGCTGAGGAAGGGGTTGAGTCTGTCTGCCAGTATTTTAGCTAGTAGTTTCGCATCATGATTAATGAGCGATATTGGTCTGTAATTCCCCGGTAATTGCGGGTCCTTGCCCGGTTTCGGGATCAGTACTATGTCTGCTCGAGTGAGGTCTCCGTCAGGGAGGCCCCCTGTCCGGAAGTCGTTGAATAAGTTCGTCAGATGGGGGGTTAATGTTTCTCTGAAGGTTTTATAGTATCTACCGCTTAGTCCGTCCGGGCCTGGGGCTTTATTACCATGGAGTTTTGAGATGGCTCTATCTACCTCGTCTATTGTGATCTCCAAGTCGAGAGCGGCTGTCTCCTCTGGGGACAGTTTGGGCAGGTCTAGCTGTCCTAGGAAGGCGGCTGTCATCTCCCTCTCGCTCGCCCATTGCGATGTGGTGGTCGGGGAGTGGTTATATAGGGATCTATAGAACTCAGTGAAGATCGAGGCTATGTCGGTTGGGGCTGTCTTTATTGTTCCGTCCGGATGTTTCAGTGCTGTGATGTGGTGGCGTGTTTGTCGTGGTCTGAGGGTGCGGGCTAGGAGAGTGTCCATCTTGTTAGCCTGCTCGTAGTAGGTCCGTTTGGACCAGAGAAGGCTACGGGCTGCGTCGTCGAGAAGCAGCTCCCTAACGGCCCGCCTAGTCGTGTCTAGTTGGGCAAGTGTGGTCTCCGTGGGGGAAGTCTTGTGGCACTGTTCCCTAGTGCGTAGGGAATCCATGAGTTCGCGCAGGCGTTGTGTTTTTGCTTTTTTCTTGTGGGTGGCGAGTTGGATAAACGCGCCTCTGATCACCGCCTTATGCGCCGCCCAGAGTGTTCCCTTGGTTAAGTCGGGGGAGTCGTTGGTGGTAAAATAGAAGGACAGCTTCTCCTGTATGGAGGCTACTGCCTCGGGATCATTTAAAAGGGAGGTATTGAGCCTCCACGTCCATGGGGGGGCTGTACCTATGTGCTGGATGCTTAAGTGTATGTCCGCATGGTCCGACCATGTGATAGATCCAATGCTGCTACGTGCGACTTTGGGCACTGTGGCGCTATTTACCAGGAACAGATCTATTCGGGAGTATGTGTGGTGGGGGGCCGAGAAGAAGGTGTAATCTGTGTCTCCGGGGTGCTGTGCCCTCCAGATATCTATGAGTCCCCTTGCCCTGATAAATTTGTATAACGCTTTGTCCGAAGCACCCCTGCCCTGTGATCGTGGCTGCCCCGCCTTCGCGCTTCTGTCTGCTGCTGGGCACGGAGCCGCATTAAAATCGCCACCTAGGACCTGCATGCCATGTGAGAGGGACTGAACCTTCCCCTCCAGTACGGCCCAGAAATCCCCCTCTGGGGTGTTGGGAGCGTACACGTTTATAAGGTGTATTGCTTGCGTGTTTAGTGTGCCGGAGAGAATAATGTATCTGCCGTTGCTGTCTCCCTCTACGGCTGAGACCCTGAAGGGGCAGTCATGTCGAAGCAGGATTGCTACCCCATTGCGTTTGTTTACTGCTCTAGCCTCATATACTGTATTGAACGTACGGTCCCTAAGGGTGACTGTGGCTTGTTTGGGTAGGTGGGATTCCTGAATAAAGGCAATGTCGGGGCGCATGCGTTTTAAGTCTCGGAACATTAGGCGTCTCTTTTTGGGGGAGTTCAGTCCCTTAACATTTAGGGAGGTGATATTTAGTGTCATGGTCGTGTCTGTCCGGCCTCGCTAATGTCCCGTCCCCGCCATCCACCCCCCGCCAACACCCCCCACGAGGCCCCCCACCCCCCCAAGCACCCGGTCCAAAGAGGAGAAATGAGAACAGGAGGGTAGGGGGAGGGAGAGAGGAGAGGCTCGAGCAGAAGGGGGGAGAGTATAAGAGGGTAGAGAAGTAAGAATAAAGGAGGTAGTAAATAGAGTAAACATGTGTCCCTGGTCTTACCATCTGCCAGGATCCTAGGAGGGTTGTGTGCCGGTCCTTCCGGCTTCGTGTTTTAGTACGGGGAGTACCGGTCGATCTTCCCGTCCCTAATTCCACCGCCTAAACTGTTTTCTTACCTATTGCCAGTGTTATCAACTAGGTTGGGCCGAACGTCTATGCTGTGAGCCTGAAAAAACCCAGATGACCCTAACTAACACTCCAGAGGGGGTGGGGATCGTATGAGGGTGAAAAAAGGCATGAGGGGCAAGGGACGGGGGACGGGCACCCGGAAAGAACAAATAGCGAGTGTGTGCTGTGGGTATCATACCTGAGGGCCCCTCTGCCCGGGTCACCCAGCCCGTCTATCTGGCCTTAAGGTCCCCGACATCTCCGGGATCCCCTCCCCCAACCATCAGGGCCCATCGGGCGTGCTTGTCAACATGGGAAGGGAAGGCGCCTGATCCGCTACAGGGGAATATGGGTCCCAAAGTCATGTGCCTATCCACAGGCTGCCCAGGGGCCCCGCTCTCCTCAACCCGGCCATCCCGGGATGTCTCCATAGGGTCCCGTCTCCCCTCCCAATCACTGCAACACCCCCACTCCCGTAGCACTCCATCCCCCCCTCCCCCCCCCCACCAGTCCAGTCAATAACTGAGGGTCTCCAGCGTTGTAACTACTCACAGCAGCTAGCACGTCGCGCCTCTCCGACTTCACTGACTGTGGCGGTCCACAATTTGCCAGTCTCGGGTCAGTAGGCCCAGGTCTTCCTGCTCCAGTGGGACCGTGGAGAGGCTCTGTGGTGGTGGGATATCCAGGGCCTGGAACAGTTGGGTTGGGCATTCTCCTGGCTGCAGCATGTGAGTGCGGTTGCCCCGGAATACCATGAGCTTAAAGGGGAAGCCCCATGCATACCGGATGCCTGCTTCTCGTAGCGCGTCCGTGATGGGTTTCCATTCTCTCCGACGTTGAAGAGTGGAGGGAGCGAGGTCCTGGTATAGGGAGAGGTCAGCATCCCTATACCGGATGGGTGTTTCTCTGCTCTTCTTCAGGAGGGCCTCCTTAGTCTGGAAATAGAAGAAGCACATGATGACATCACTGGGGCTGTTCTGATCTGCCCGCCTGGCACGGAGCGCTCTGTGGGCACGTTCAATGTGCCAAAGGTGGTCTGGCATATCAGGGAGGAGAGGTTTGAGGATGGTGTGGAGTAGGTCCTGCAGTGGGCCTTCCCCGGCGGTCTCTGGGAGCCCGCGGAGGCGTAAATTGTTCCGTCGGGATCGGTTGGCCATATCCTCTATAGCCAGCTCAGCTGTTCTCATGCGAGCTGTGAGGCGGTTAATCTGGAGGACCGCTGAGTTGTGGGCATCCACTGTGGCCTCCTGTTTGTGCTCCAGTCTCGCAGTTCTGACTCCCAGTGCCTGGATCTCATTCTGCAGGACCGCGGTGGATTTCTGTATCTCCCCTGCCAGGTAGTGTTTGAGCTCTGCTAATTGAGCTAGGATCTGTGGGGTATCCCCCACCTGATGCTCCGCTGGAGAGGCACTGCGCTGTGGCGAGCTTCTGGGCGCCGGGCCTGCACCGGCGCCATTTTGGGCCTGTTGCGCGGTCGATTTTGCGGCAGCAAATAGATCCGCTACTGACGTCTCTGCCTCTTGCCCCTTCCTAGGCTGCTTCTTGGGGTTGCGCTTTTCCATCCTGCAGGGGTTTCGGTTCAGTTCGGCGGCGGTAAGTATGCCTTTTATTGCTGTAGGCGGCGGTTTCGGGCCAGAGCTTTAGCTTAGTGCGTCCAGCTCGATCGTTGGTCAGGCCACGCCCCCAACACTGTTTTTTATTTGTTTGTTTTTTTGTTTGTTTTTTTGTTTGTTTTTTTGTTTGTTTTTTTGTTTGTTTTTTTATTGGGGTAGCCCCCAAAATATTGGGACATATAAATAAAAGAAAACAAAGAATAAGTGCACTTGAGTATAACAATGGCTGGGTGAGGCTGGTATAAATGTCTAGTCTGCACAAGGTACAGACAAGTCTGGTGGGATCCATGCCTGGTTCATTTTAATAAACGTGAGCTTGTCCACGTTGGCTGTGGACAGGCGGCTGTACTTGTCTGTGATAACACCCCCTGCCGTGCTCAACACACGTTCAGACAATACACTGACTGCAGGGCAGGCCAGCACCACCAAGGCATAAAGGGCAAGCTCAGGCCATGTGCCCAATTTGGAGACCCAGAAGTTGAATGGGGCAACCCATCAGTCAGTACATATAGGCGTATGCACATGTACTGTTCCACCATGTTGCTGAAATGCTGCCTCTTGCTAAGACGTTCGATATCAGATGGTGGTGCTGGTTGTTGTGGCGTGCTGACAAAGCTTTTCCACATTTCGGCCCTGCTAACCCTGCCTTCTGAGGTGCTGACGGTGCCCCAGCTGCGTTGGAGACCTCTTCCTCCTCCTCTGCCTTGTTCTTCCACTGAGCCCCCGGTGTCAGTTGGGAATGCCCTCAGCAGTGCGTCTACAAGCGTGCGCTTTCCAGTCTTTCCAGCATGTGCAAGGTGGAGTTTCACTTTGTGGGCACGTCGCATATGAGGCGGTGAGCGGGAAGGCCGAAGTTATGCTGCAGCGCAGACAGGCGAGCAGCAGCAGGGTGAGAATGCCAAAAGCGCGCACACATGGCCCGCACTTTCTTCAGCAGTTTTGATATATCTGGGTAGTTTTTCAGGAATTTCTGCACCACCAAATTCAGCACATGCACCAGGCAAGGGATGTGCCTCAAACTGGCTAGGCCCAGAGCAGCTACGAGATTTTGCCCATTATCGCACACCACCAGGCCGGGCTTGAGGCTCAGTGGCAACAACCACTCATCGGTCTGTTGTTCCATGCCCGTCCATAGCTCCTGCGCAGTGTGGGGTTTTCCCCCCAAACATATGAGTTTTAAAACAGCCTGCGTCGTTTCCCCCTGGCTGTGCTGAAGTTGGTGGTGAAGGTGTTACACTGCCTGGATGAGGTGGTGGTAGAGGAGGAGGAAACGGAGGAGGAGGCAACAGGAGGCAAAGAGAAATGCCCTGCAGTCCTCAGTGGCGGAAGGACATGTGCCAAACTTCTATCCGCCTCAGGCCCAGCCGCCGCTACATTTGCCCAGTGTGCAGTTAGGGAGATATAGCGTCCCTGCCCGTGCTTACTGGTCCACGTATCTGTGTTTATGTGGACCTTGCCACAGATGGAGTTGCGCAGTGCACACCTGATTTTGTTTGCCAATTGGTTGTCCAGGGAAGGGATGGCACGCCTAGAAAAGTAGTGGTGGCTGGGAACCACGTACTGTGGGACAGCCACCGCCATCAGGTTTTTAAAACTGTCCGTCTCCACCAGACGGAATGACAGCATTTCAAAGGCCATGAATTTTGAAATGCTGGCATTCAGGGCCAGGGATCGCGGGTGGCTAGGGGGGCACTTCCTCTTTCTCTCCAGTGTTTGGGAGATGGACAGCTGAACACTTCCATGGGACAGTGTGGAGATGCTTGGGGATGGTGGTGGACGTGGTGGTGTTGCTGCCACATCCTCTGTTTGCGAGGTGGCAGGTGCCACTCTGACTCCAGAGGTGGAGGAAGAGGCCGAGACAGCAGCAGAAGAGGAAGCAGGAGGAGCTTGAGACCTTTCTTGGTTTTTGAGGTGCTTACTCCACTGCAGCTCGTGCTTTGCATGTAGATGTCTGGTCATGCAGGTTGTGCTCAGGTTTAGCACGTTTATGCCTCGCTTCAGGCTCTGATTGCACAGCGTGCAAACCACTAGTGTCTTGTCGTCAGCACATATTCTGAAGAACTGCCATGCCAGGGAACTCCTTGGAGCTGGCTTTGGTGTGCTCGGTCCCTGGGTGTGGTGGGCAGTAGCAGGCGTCCCGTCTAGGGGACAGCTGCTCTGCTTTTGCACCCTGCTCCCTCTTATGCTGTGCTGGTTCCTCTGTGCGACCGCTGCCTCTTCCTCCAAACTGGACACGTCACTCACATGACATTTATTCCATGTGGGTTCTAGGACCTCATCATCCTCCACATCATCTTCCACCCACTCCTCAACCCTGCCCTCCTTGCCGGTCTGCACACTGCCGAAAGCCACAGCAGTTGGCATCTGTGTTTCGTCATCATCAGAGACGTGCTGCGGTGGTCCTTGCATGTCCACATCCTGACACATAAGTGGTTATGCATCAGTGCCCTCAATCTCTTCCACTTCTGGGGCAGGGCTAGGTGGATGGCCCACGGAAACCCCGCCAGCAGAGTCATCAAAAAACATAAGAGACTGCTGCATGACTTGTGGCTCAGACTGCATGGCTGATTTGCAAGGGGGTGAGGTGAAAGACAGATGGCCATGGGCTGCAGGTGCCAACTCTGAGCTTTCAGCAGGGGACCGGGTGGGAGACAATGTGCAGGAACTGGAGGCACTGTCAGCCATCCAATCTACTATCGCCTGTACATGTTCTGGCCTCACCATTCGTAGGGCGGCATTCGGGCCTACCAAATAATGCTGAAGGTTCTGTCGCGTGCTCGCACATGAGGAAGGTGTTTCACATGTGAGTGTAGCAGGCACAGATCGACCACGTCCTCTCCTTGCAACAGGAGCTCCACCAACACCAGCAGCACCATAACCTGGGCCACGTCCCTTATTTGACGCTCTCCTCATTCTTTGCATTCACCCACCAAACTAACAGATGTTTTATGTCAGGCGACAATGTAACCGCCAATAGTCAAATTTTTTTTTTTAATTTTTTTTTTTATTGGACTGCAAGAAATGCACCGCAGGCCCCAAATGTACTATTTAGCACCCAAAAAATTTGAATTTTTGAAAGTGCGATATAACCACAGTATTTGACGCTTCTATTTGACTCTCAGATATGAAGAGCAAGCCCCAAATTTACTATGTAGCAGTTTAGCACCAAAACAATTAGAATTTTTACAACTGCGCTGTAACCGCAGTATTTGACGCTTCTATCTGACTCTCAGATATGAAGAGCACACCCCAAAATTTACTATTTCGCAGATTAGCACCCAGAAAATTAGAATGTTTACAACTGCTCAGTAAGCGCACTATTAGACGCTTCGATTTGACTCTCAGATATGAAGAGCACGCCCAAAATGTACTATTTAGCAGATAAGCACCCAGAAAATAAGAATTTTTACAAGTGCGCAGTAAGTGCACTATTAGATGCTTCTATTTGACTCTCAGATATGAAGCGCACGCCCCAAATTTACTATTTAGCAGATAAGTACCCAGAAAATAAGAATGTTTACAATTGCGCTGTAACCGCAGTAATTGACGCTTCTATTTGACTCTCAGATATGAAGAGCACGCCCCAAATGTACTATTTAGCAGATTAGCACCCAGAAAATAAGTTTTTTTTACAACTGCGCTGTAACCGCAGTATTTGACGCTTCTATTTGACTCTCAGATATGAAGAGCACGCCCCAAATTTACCATTTAGCAGATTAGCATGCAGAAAATAAGAATGTTTAGAATTACTCTGTAACCGCAGTATTTGACGCTTCTATTTGA